TGAGCCCATCCATGGAGCTGTTTATTTCATTTGTTGTATTTTTCAGTTCTAACATGTTGATTTGGTTCTCCTTTATGTCATGTATTTCTTTGCTGAGGTTTTCTGATTTTTCATTTGTTTCAAGTGTATTCATAATTGTTCATTAAAGCATTTTATTATGGCTGCTTTGCAATGTTTGTCAGACAATTCTACCACCTCTGTCATCTCAGTGTTGGCGTTTATTGCTATTTTAATTTGGTTTGAGATATCTCTGGTTCTTGGTATGATGAGTGATTTTGAATTGAAACCTGGACATTGGCCTTCTTAGGTTGTCTGCTTCTCCAGCACTCAGCCTGGGATATGTGAAGCAAAAAGAAAAACCAGGGAACTCACCACCATGTCATTCCTCGGATTGTGAGTTCCCTAGCCATCTGCCTTCTTCTTTGCACTGTTCTGAGTCTTCTCATATTTGTTTTATATATAACATCCAAGGTTTTTAGTTGAACCACTTGGAGGAATAGGGGAAAATGTGCCTTCTCCATTTTTCTGGAAGCAGAAGGTCATTGCTTACTCTGAGCCAACAAGCAAACAAGCTGGAGTTCACCTTTTTTCCTCAAGCCGGTCTCTTCACCCCACTTTCCCCCTCCACTCTCTACCTCCCTATTTCATATTCCCTACAGATATCTAGGTAGGAATTGTCAACATTCTGCCTTCACAGACTCCCTTATGTCTCTTCCTTCTTTTTGTTCTAAGCCCTAGCTCAGGTCTGATTCTTTTGTCTGATTCTTGGCCATTTTAATGATGTCTTCACTAATCTCATAAATTGTATGCTCAGCAATCTTCACCCCTCCAGTGTACCTCTTCTACCTCCTCATCTTTCTTTCTTTCTTTTTTTGAGACAGCATCTCACTCTTTCACCCAGGCTGGAGTGCAATGGCGCCATCCTGGCTCACTGCAACCTCCGCCTCCTGCGTTCAAGTAATTCTACTCCTCAGCCTCCCGAGTGGCTGGGACTACAGGTGCATGCCACCAGGCCCGGCTAATTTTTTGTATTTTTAGTAGAGATAGGGTTTCACCATGTTAGCCAGGATGGTCTCCATCTCCTGACCTCATGATCCACCCTTCTCGGCCTCCCAAAGTGCTGGGATTACAGACTTGAGCCACTGGGCCCAACCACCTCCTCATCTTTCTTTCTCTTTTTTTTTTTTTTTTTTGAGACAGAGTCTCACTCTGTTGCTCAGGCTGGAGTGCAATGGCATAATCTCGGCTCACTGCAACCTCCACCTCCCGAGTTCAAGCAATTCTCAACCTCCCGAGTAGCTGGAATTATAGGCGTCTGTCACTACGCCCAGCTAATTTTTGTATTTTTAATAGAGATAGGGTTTCACCATGTTGACCAGGATGTTCTCAAACTCCTGACCTCTGGTGATCTGCCTGCCTCAGCCTCCCAGAGTGCTGGGATTACAAGTGTGAGCCACCGCGCCCGGCCTACCTCCTCATCTTTCTAAAGCAGGCATCCACAGGTGCATTCCTCAGAGTTAAACATAAACATAGTCTGAGAGCAATTACATTGGGGAAATACTGATTTTAATAAAGTAAATAGATTTCTTTCCTATGGGACTTCTCAGCACTCTCAGGGTACCTCCATCCATGGTGAGTAGCCAAGAAAACAACATAAAATATAGAATGGCCCAAACTTATTTACTTAAATATTCTTTTTCTCCCTGAGGCATCTCTGGAATACAATGTTCTAAGAAGGGTGTTCACAAACTTCTGTAAAGAATCAGCTAAGAAATATTTTCAGGCCAGGCATGGTGGGTCACACTTGTAATCCCAGCACTTTGGGAGGCCGAGACAGGTAGATCACCTGAGGTCAGGAGTTCAAGACCAACCTGATCAACATGGAGAAACCACATCTGTACTGAAAATACAAAATTAGCCGGACCTGGTAGCTATCGCAGCTACTCGGGAGGCTGAAGCAGAAGAATCATTTGAACCCGGGAGGCGGAGGTTGTGGTGAGCCAGGGTCACACCATTGCACTCCAGCCTGGGCAACAAGAGCAAAAATCTGTCTCAAAAAAAAAATACAATAAAATAAAGAAAAAGAAAAGAAATATTTTCAGCTTTTGCAGTTTATGGTCTCTGTCAAAACTTCTCAGCTCTGCTGCTGTAGGGTGAAAGCAGGCATAGACAATATATAAACAAATGGATGTGGTTGTGGTTGTATGCCCATAAAACTTTATCTATAAAAACAGAACACTGGCCCTGAGGTTGTAGTTTGACCACACTTCTTCTAAAGCATCATTTTAATTAAAGAGACCTAGGTGTCTTTAATTAAAGAAAGAAATCCTGGGTTTCTTCCTTTATTCACTGTGTCTATTCTAACTAGACATAGGTAGAGATAGCCTCGGCTCCTATCTCCAAAATACATGTTACATGTATTCCCGCCTCTCCATCTCCTAGCTTCTAGCTTAGATCCAGGCCATTGCCTGCACCTTTTGAAGCCTCCTGCTGGACTTCCTCTGTGCACATGCTCCATCATTCCACATGGAGCTGGGATGGTGGTTGTGAAACCTCAGTGGCTTTTCGCTGGTCGCAGGAGGAAGTCTAAGCGTCTCCCCATGTGTTGTAAGGCCCAGTGTGGGCAGCCCTGGCCCTGGCCCAGCCCTCCAGTCTCAGCTTTCATGGCTCCCCCACTCCTGCTACACAGCTGAGCTCGTGCATGTGGTTTGCACACTCAGTTCTCCTCACTTCTGGACCTGCACATGGGCTGTTTCTCCTGCTGAGAATACTCCTCCTCTGTGTTCAGCTGGTGAATTTTCCTTCAGGCTTCAGCTTAGGTATGACTTCTGCCCTCACTCCCAAAGTTAAGTTGCATGCCCCTGCAGCTACTTTATCCTTCAGCAGTCTAATTTTATTTTAGTTCCGTGTTTCTCTCTCTCTGTCTATTTTTCCCCAGCTATACTGTAAACCCTGTGAGGACAGCTTTTCTTTTTTTTTTCCTCCCTCCTTTCTTCTACATCTCCAGCGCCAGCACAGACTGGCCTTCAGAAGACATGGGCCTCCCAAAGTGCTGATCAGTGCCTAAGACTCCCTTGACACCAGCTCTTAACCAGTTTTCCTTCGTGTAGGGAGCAGATGGCATTAATCTATTGGAATAATTGGAAGCCCATATGCCCCTCTAAGAAATAAGTTGCCCATCTGTAGTGAGGGTGAGTGCTATGTGGCATCCAAGGGTCTTTTGTGGAAAGATTTTTGCTTTTTGGTTTGAGGCCAAAGGTTCTTTCTCAAAAGTTGCTAAGAGCTCTAGATCTTTCTTTGCAGAGCTCTATTTTTTTTTTTTTTTTTTGGACTCTGTTGCTCAGGCTGGAGCGCAGTGGCATGATCTCAGTTCACTGCAACCTGTCTCCCGGGTTCAAGTGATTCTTGTGCCTCAGCCTCCAGAGTAGCTGGGAGTACAGGCATGTACCACCAAGCCTGGCTAATTTTTGTATTTTTAGTAGAGGTGGGGTTTCACCATGTTGTCCAGCCTGGTCTCAAACTCCTGGCCTCAAGAGATCTGCCCACCTCCACTGGCCCAGAGTCTGGGCGTGGTGGCTCACACCTGTAACCCTAGCACGTTGGGAGGCCAAGATGGGCAGATCTCTTGAGGTCAGGAGTTAGAGACCAGCCTGGCCAATATGGTGAAACTCCTTCTCTACTAAAAACACAAAAATTAGCCAGGCATGGTGGCAGGTGCCTGTAATCCCAGCTACTTGGGAGGCTGAGGCAGGAGAGTCACTTGAACCTGGGAGACAGAGGTTCAGTGAGCTGAGATTGTGCCACTGCTGTCCAGCCTGGGTAACAGAGCAAGACTCTGTCTCAAAGAAAAAGCCAGAAAAAAACATTAGGAAGATGCCAAATGCAATGTGGGATCTACGAGTGGATACTGGGTTACTTTTAAAAAACAAAGAGCTACAAAGTACATTCTTGGGAAAACTGGGGAAATGTGACAATGTAATGCATTTTAGATAATATTATTATGTCAGCGTTACCTATCTCGGGATTGATAATGGTATGGTAGTTCTATTAGGAGAATAAACCTTCTTCTTAGGAGAGATACACTGAAGCATTTAGGAGTAAAGTGTCATGATGTCTGCAAATTAATTCAAATGGTTCAGAAACCATTTGAGTATTTCAGAGAGAAGGAGGGAGGGAGAGAGTGTAATGTGGCAAAAATGTTAACAACTGGTGATATGGGAGGTTATTTCATCCTCTCCAAATATCATATTGAAATGTGACCTCCAGTGCTAGAGGTGGGCCTAGCAGGTGGTATTCGGGTCATGGAGACAGATCCTTCATGTATGTCTTGGAGCTGTCCTCCCTGTAATGAGTGAGTTCTCAGTCTGTTAGTTCATGTGAGGTCTGGTTATTTTTATTTTATTTTATTTTTATTTTTATTTTTTGAGATGGAGTCTCACCCTGTCACCCAGGCTGGAGTGCAGCAATGAAATCTTGGCTTACTGCAACCTTCGCCTCCCGGGTTCAAGCAGTTCTCCTGCCTCAGCCTCCCGAGTAGCTGGGATTACAGGCGTGCGCCACCATGCCCAGCTAATTTTTATATTTTAGTAGGCGGGGTTTTCACCATGTTGGCCAGGCTGGTCTCGAACTCCTGACCTCAAGTGATCCACCCACCTTGGCCTCCCAGGGTGCTGGGATTATAGGTGTGAGCCACTGTACCCAGCCTTGGTTGTTTAAAAGAGCCTGGCACTTCCACCTGTTCCCCGTCTCTCTCTCTTGCTCACTCTCCCCATGTGATATGCCAGCTCCCCATTTGCCTTCTGCCATGATTGAAAGCTTCCCGAGGTCTCACCAGAAGCCAAGCAGATGCCACCACAATGCTGCTTGTACAGCCTGCAGAACTGTCAGCCAAGTAAGCCTCTTTTCTTTATAAATTACCCAGGTTTTTTTTGTTTGTTTTTTGTTTTTTTTCCCTACAGAATCTCGCTCTGTCACCAGCCTGGAGTAGAGTGGTGTGATCTCGGCTCACTGCAACCTCCACCTCCCGGGTTCAAGTGAGTCTCCTGCCTCAGCCTCCCAAGTAGCTGAGACTACCCACCCAGCTAATTTTTGTATTTTTAGTAGAGATGGGGTTTCACTATGTTGGCCAGGTTGGTCTGTATCTCTTGACCTTGTGATCTGCCTGCCTCGGCCTCCCAAAGTGCTGGGATTACAGGCATGAGCCACCACGCCTGGTCGGGTATTTCTTTATAGCAGTACAAATGGACTAACACAACTGGTAAATAATAATATAAAATGTCCTGTATTCAATATTTTACTCAACCCTCATCTCACTTACCACAGTGTCTCACATGGAATATACTCAATGAACGGTGGCTGAACAACAACAACAATTAGTAAGTTGCCTAAAAATGTGCACTGAATTGCTTAAGATGCTCTATTGACTTCCTATCTTTTAACTTCTGATATGGGGGCTTTGAGCGGCTTTATAACCAAAGAGCCCAGCAAACAGCTATCTCTTTCCTGTTGAGCCATATGGCTTGAGTTCCAAATATATTTATAGAACTTATATTTCATATCACTTAACATTTTTACAGTAAAAGTCTCCATAAAGGAGAACAAAGATAGGAGAGAAACTTGGTATATTCCAAGTGAGGTAAAGTCAATCTGGGTTTGATGTCACTATGGATCATAATTTCTGTCCCGATCCAAAATCAGGATGGACACATTCTCCTGTTTATCTTTCTAAACAACTCCTATGATGTCCCTGCAAGAACTCAGCTGCAGGTGGTTGCTGTCCACCCCATCATCCAGCTCAAGGACCAGAATTTCCTGGAAGGCCAAAGACCTGCACCTGCATGGAATGGCAGGGGTTCATGGGCAAGCGGAGCCCTTTACCTGACCTCTGTCTCTTGGTGTTTTCTGTTTCCATTTTATCATGATCCAAGAGACTCTTGCATTTGGCAGGCCTTAAAGCAGTGGGTGGACTTTAGAGATTAGCCTGCCCTCTGACATGAGCCATGGGCCAAAGGATGGGACTTGATGGAGTGGGCATTTAATGGGTTTGATCACTTCTGTAACCAGGGGCTTCTCTCCAGGGCAGCAATGAGGCAATAATGTCATGAGTGGCGGCTGACTGAGCACTTACTCTCCACTGTGCACTGATGGGGCACTCACACTATACCGTGTGCCAAGGTGGCACTTCCCACATCCAGTATTCATTCCAGCCTTAAAAGTTAAGGAATCTTGGGGATCCAGACCCAGGGGGCCGCTAAAATCCAGGCTTCAGGCGAGGCGTGGTGGCTCAGGCCTGTAATCCCAGCACTTTGGGATGCTGAGGAGGGCGGGTCACTTGAGCTCAGGAGTTTGAGACCAGCCTGGGCAACATAGTGAGGCTGTCTCTACAAAAAATACAAAAAATTGCAGGGCGCAGTGGCTCACACCTGTAATCTCAGCACTTTGGGAGGCCGAGGTGGGCAGATCACTTGAGGTCAGGAGTTCGAGACCAGCCTGGCCAACATGGTGAAACTCCGTCTCTATGAAAAATACAAAAATTAGCCAGGCATGGTGGCGGGCGCCTGAAATCCCAGCTACTCAGGAGGCTGAGGCAGGAAAATCACTTGAACCCAGGAGGTGGCGGTTGCAGTGAGCCAAGATTGCGCTACTGTACTCCAGCCTCAGTGACAGAGCGAGACTCCATCTCAAAAAACAAAAAAATTTAGCTGGGCGTGGTGATGGGCAACTCAAGTAAGAGGATGGCTTGATTGAGCCCAAGAGGTGGAGGTTGCAGTGAGCCAAGATTGTGCCACTGCACTCCAGCCTGGGTGACAGAGTGAGACTCTGTCTAAAAAAAAAAAATCCAGGCTGCTGAGTGGCAGATGTAACAGAAACATGCCACACCCTGGGAAGATGGAAGACTCCAGTGGCATGCGCAGGTCTCGCCTCTGAGTGTTTAGTGAAATTCTGGATTAATTTAAAAGGTAATCAGGAGTACTTCCCTTATTCTGACTGAGCACATACTCTCAGTCAGTAAAAGTCAATGCCCATGCTCTGCTCCAGCACCTCAGAAGAGAAACTAATTTCCAGTCAGCAAGTTGACAAGTAACACGGTTGCCCCCAAGGTGGGGCAAGGTTCGCCTGTGTGCTCTCAGTGAGCGTCCAGATTGGGCAGGGGTATGACTGGAGGAGGTAAGAAGCAAATTGGCCTCCACTTAGAAGCACGCAGTGTGGACACGGTCCACTGCCTGGAGTTTGTTCAGCAAAGTTCTCCCACTGGCAGGGTGGCCAGGAACTCCCTTCTTCCAGGTGGCGGGGAAGCTCGCCATCTGTGCAGCCTCCTCTGCAGGAGAGTGAGCTGGGGCGCAGATCATAAATGGAGTTTCTGAGCCAGAAAGATGGCAAATGGGATGAATTCATTTGCTGAGGCTGAGGCCAACCAGTTCTTGCATCCAGGATCCCTGGCTTGTCCCTTTAGAACACATGATGAGGTCAGGTGGAGCCAGCATGAGCTTGAAGTCAGGAGACGAGCTGCATGCGAGTCTGGCACCTGGTACAATGAGCGTCCATCTCAGACTCCCAGTCAGTATTTGAGGAATGAACAAATGCACGTTGTGAACTCTGAAGCGTTATGGAAAGGTGAGCAGCAGAGTGTAGAGGCTTTGACTGTGTAAAGGATTTGAGTGTGTAGAAGATATGACTGTGAGAAGAAGCTGACTTCAAGGGCTGAGACTGATTCTTCAGCATCACCTTTTCCACTAAAGGTCAGTCGGGCTCAGTTCTTCCCCTCCTCACCCAAGAACCAGGACCTAGAAGGTGGGTGCATGTTTGGGACAGCATGTGTTTAGTGCCTGGAGGTAGAAAGGATGTGTGTATCTGCGTGCTCACGTCTCTGCATAGACAACAGCACATGTGGCTCTTGCTGCAGAGGTCCTGTGTGTTGCTACATCCAACAAGCAGGGTTTTTCTGTTTTTTGTTTTTTGAAATGGAGTCTTGCTCTGTTGCCCAGGCTGGAGTGCAATGGTGCAATCTCACTGCAACCTCCACCTCCCAGGTTCAAGAGATTCTTCTGCCTCAGCCTCCCGAGTAGCTGGGATTACAGGCACGTGCCACCACACCCGGCTAATTTTTGTATTTTTAGTACAGGCAGGGTTTCACCATGTTGGCAGGCTGGTCTCAGACTCCTGACCTCAGGTGATCTGCCTGCCTCGGCCTCCCAAAGTGCTGGGATTACAGGCATGTTGCACTCAGCCAACAAGCAGGTTTTATTCTTTTGTCTCCCTCCCCTTGCTGTAGCCTAGAACACAAACACCAGCGCTCTCTCTCTCACACACACACACATTCACACACACACACACACACACACACTTCATTCTGTTTCTCCCCAGACTCCCTGCACCCCCGTCATAGATTGCTTGACATCCCTTTTCCCCAGCAAAACACACTGTGTTGCACCTGTTCTGAGGAAGCACCCTGCACCAGCTGTCTGCAGGTACCCAGCATCTTACAACTCGCACCCCCACCCCTCTGCCATTACAGAGAATGACATGGTGTGGGAGTGGGGAAGGCATTAGGTCTCCTGGGCAGGGGGTCTCTGCAGCACAATCTCCAGTCAACATCATTTTCCCTTCTTACAGGAGTGGGGTAGAGGGTGTCTGTGTCTTGGGTTTCCCAGGAGACAGACTTTGAGCTGGAGAGTTGCACGCAGGAGGTTTTTTAGAGACAGCAGGAACAATGCTTGGAAGGGAAAGAGTGAGGAGTGCAGGGATGGGCAGAGGGAGACATTGAGCTGTGATGATGTAGTGATAGTGGCCTCAGCTGATCCCCTGGTGAGCTCTGGAGCTGGGACAACTCTTCCGAGATGCCACAAGCAGCCAGGCCTTTGCCTGACTGCTTTAGTGGAAGACTGACCTTTAGTGGAAGAGGTGATGCTGAAGAATCAGTCTCAGCCCTTGGAGTCAGCTCCTTGTCACAGTCAGATCCTGGCCTCCACACCCTGCTGCTGTGTGGACCAGGCATTGGATGTGGGCTTCTCTGGGAAGGGGTGTGACTGTGCCCCAGGCAGTTCCCTTGCGGAGGGTGGTGTGTGGTGTCACCACTCAGCACTATTGGGTAGTGGGGAGCTGAGCACCCCAGGTGTAAAGAAGGGTATCTGCGTCCCCACTGTGTCCCAGACAGGCTGCTGTGACCTGGCCCGACACCCCGGCAGAGTGGAAGAACGCAGAAAACGTTCTCTCGCTGCTTCTCCCACAGTTTTTGTGGGTATTTTGGCTTTTTGTCTGATTATGGTTTTTCATGGTGCCAGGCCTGAGTCCTTTTTTTTTTTTTTTTTTTTTTTTGGAGACGAAGTCTTGCTCTGTTGCTTAGGATGGAGTGCAGTGGCATGATGTCGGCTCACTGCGACCTCTGCCTCCCTGGTTCAAGTGATTCTCCTGCCTCAGCCTCCCAAGTAGCTGGGATTACAGGCACCTGCCACCATGCCCAGCTAATTTTTGTATTTTTTTTTTTTTAGTAGAGACAGTGTTTCCCCATGTTGGCCAGGCTGGTTTCGAACTCCTGACCTCAAGTGATCCAACCGCCTAGGCCTCCCAAAGTGCTAGGATTACAGATATGAGCCCCCGAGCCCATCCAGGCCTGAGTTCTTGAGCCTTGTGTGTCAAAGTCCCCATATTTCTGAGGTCAACAGATAACACTTTAACCCGTGGCCATCCTTTCTTTTCTCTTCTCCCAACAGCTCTTTGACGTTTTTATTCTCTTTTGTATCTGCCCCCAACTCTACCAGTCTCATAGAAATTTGCCAATTTTCCTGGTGTAAATGCTTCCACCTTGGCTGATTTCAAGCTACCAGTGTGATGTTACTGAACGTGGGAAGACACGCAAATATCGGTCTTATAGGTGGGTTCCAGCACACCCCTGAGTGCAGGTGGGTTTTTTTTGTTTTGTTTTGTTTTGTTTTGAGATAGAGTCTCGCTCTGTCGCCCAGGCTAGAGTGCAGTGGCGCGATCTCGACTCACTGCAAACTCTGCCTCCTGGGTTCACGCCATTCTCCGGCCTCAGCCTCCTGAGTAACTGGGACTACAGGTGCCCCTCACCACACCCGGCTTATTTATTTATTTATTTATTTATTTATTTATTTATTTATTTGTATTTTTAGTAGAGATAGGATTTCACCATGTTAGCCAGGATGGACTCGATCTCCTGACCTTGTGATACGCCCGCCTTGGCTTCTGAAAGTGCTGGGATTACAGGTGTGAGCCACCATGCCCAGCCAGGGTTTGAACCCCAGGAGAGGGATTCTGGGGTGAGGACTGGAAGCAGCCGGTAGGGCTCATGGAGTCCCTGGCAGGGATGAGCTTGCCTGCCTCCCTAAGTTCTCAGGGCCTGCATCTATCTGGGTATAGAATGGCTTCAACTGTGTTTCCATCCTGTTGCCCCCTGATGCTTTTTTGTCCATGGGATGTGCCTCTGGAAGTGAATCTCATTCATATTGCCCCAGCTCTTTCCCTCTGTCAGGTTCACTGGAGGTGAATGCAAGGGCTTAGAGAGGTGGGGTTGCAAAGAGGGGAAAAGGTGCCTTCCCAGCAAGGATTCTGCCCTTGGGATACAGCAAGCCTTTGGAAGAACCCAGCTTCTCTGTCCTGCAGGACTCTTTGAGATGACGCAATAGGATGTCATCTCTGCTCTCCTCCAGTTAGCACAGAGCTGACATTTGGGAATGTACCCCTTTATGTGTTTACTCCTGGATCTTCTGTACTTGCCATAACCACCACAAGCGGTAGGTAGCTTTCCTTCTCCCCATGTTGCTGATGAGAAAACTGGGTCATAGGGAGGTTGAAGATTTGTCTAAGACTTGTAGCAAGTACATGGTAGAGCAGGGTTTAAACTCCAATCATTGATTCTAAAGCTCATGCCAAAAACCATTTCACCATATATCCTGTCAGGAATATAGACTGGTATGTGTTCTGTCTTCAGAGGTCAAAAAAAGAGAGTGATTAAAGTGATCCCTCAGTTGTACTCTTCTCTCTCTCTCTCTTTTTTCTGTTTCTTTTTTTTTTTTTTTTTAAGACGGAGTTTCACTCTTGTCCGGGCTGGAGTGCAATGGCGCGATCTCGGTTCACCCCAACCTCCACCTCCTGAGTTCAAGCGATTCTCCTGCCTTGAGTAGCTCCTGCCTCCCGAGTAGCTGGGATTACAGGCATGTGCTACCATGGCCAGCTAATTTTGTATTTTTAGTAGAGATGGGGTTTCTCCATGTTGGTCAGACTGGTCTCAAACTCCCGACCTCCAGTGATCTGCCTGCCTCCGCCTTCCAAAGTGCTGGGATTACAGGCGTGAGCCACCATGCCCGGCCAAGCTGTGCTCTTATACATATAATGCTATGGCTTGAATGTGTCCCTCATAAGTTCATGTATTGGAAACTTAATGGTCATTACAATGGTATTAAGAAGTGGGACATTTAAGAGGTGATTAGCCAGGAGGACTCTGCACTCATGAATGTACTGATGCTGTTATTGCAGGAGTGAGATCCTGAGAAAAGGATAAGTTTGGCCTCTTTTCTCTGTCTCTTATGATGGGCATAGATGCCATGTGATACCTTCCACCACAGGATGACCCTCACCAGATGCCAGTGCCATGCTCTTGGACTTCCCAGCTTCTAGAACCACGAGCCAAATAAACATCTTTTCTACATAAATTATGCAGTCTGTGGTATTTTGTTGTAACAGCAGAAGATAGACTGTGACACAGTGAATGTCACATGCTGAGTATTATTCTACCCAATCCTCCCGTCTCTCCCTGGTACAGAGAAACACAGGTGTGAATATGAGAGTGAGTAAGAAACCTCCACTCAGTACTTGCTGCGGTATTTGCTGCAGCTCCTGCACACACATCTTTGCTCTGCATGTTCCATTGTTCCAACATTTCTACTAATTACACATGATGCATCACCCACCGCCCCCGCCCCGCCGCCAACCTGCCCCCAGTATGTCTCGCTAGTCCTCACACTGTGTTACACCTTCAGTTATACCTCGTGTCTTTGCACCTGCACGCATCCTCGCACCTGGTGCCTTTACACCTGCGTGCATCTCCTTGAAGCCTGTGCTATACATTACCCTTGATATTTGTAATGTGTCACACACACACACATTCTTCCTGTCCCTGGCAGATTTATGCTACTGAGAGGAATACCGCCTCCTCCAAGCAGCCCCTTGAAGCCTTACCAGTTGGGGACTGATAGATATCAACTCATATTCTCTCTAGAAAAGCTACTGAGCTCTGTGACTGCATCCCTGGCACCTGTCCAGAGAATATTATTTGAGCACCATAAATTACCATCAAGTTGCTGTTTCAAGGGGCTCTGTGATGGCTGGCATAGGAACAGGACAGGAAGGAGGAAATAAAGTTTTACCCTGTCATCTCAGGGCCTGGCATCCCTCCCCCAGGTACCAAGGGAGGTTGCTTGGAAGTCCCCAGGCTCCTCTCACTTGTCATTTTCTCACGTGAATCACTCTGACGCTCCTCACTGTAGCACACACACAGGGCCATTCCTTACTGCACATAGCCCATCGCTCCTGTCTTAGGATTATCAGCATCTCTGCCTTCCTCCAAGCAGTGGCAGCTCCTCAGGAGGTCTGTGGGGTGCAGGAGGGACTGGGAGGTTGGGGCAGTCAATTCTGTTTTTCACACTCAGCTCATGCAGTCAACTGAGGTAGTTGAAGAGGAGAAGAATCGGGTAGAGACCTCAGAGAAGAAGAGGAGGATCAGGGTAGAGACCTCAGCCTGTAGTTCTAGAACCCTTGGCTTGAGGAGTGTCAAATGGATGAACATAGGAAGTATCGATAAATGTCTCCTTAGGGAGAAGAGGCTCCTTCTTTATGAATGCTGAATCTTGAGTAGGGGAGAAATGGGTGGGGAGGAAATGCATTAGAGCAGTGGTTCGCTACTGGGGTCCATTTTACCTTTCAAGAGGACATTTGGCAATGTCTGAGAGGCTGTCACGAATCGGCAGGGGTGGGGTGTGAGGTGGGTAGAGGCCAGGGATGCTGTTAAACAACATCTATGCACCAGATGGCTTCCCACAACAAAGCCATCTGGCCCAAATGTCAATGGTGCCACAATTGAGAAACCCGGTACTAGCACATAGGATGGTCCCATGGGCAGGACCACCTCTGCAGAAAGTGACGGGAAGTCCTGCTCCTCATATGTGGAGGGAGGGAGTCAGGATCCAGAGTGAAGGAGCAGCAGACTTCCAGCCCCGCACAGACCAGACCGTTCTTCCCAGGGGACAGGCTCTCCAGGCTGGTGTTGTCTGGTGGCTTCCTGCATTCCCAGAAGAAGGGAAAGGCCATGGTATCCTCAGGGCGGGTAGCTGAGAAACCCTGCAGAGCCGGGTGACTTTTGGCTGTTCAGATTCAATCTAGATCCTCCCAATGCACTATCTGTGCACTGATCCAAGTGCTTTCCACCAAATCCCCATCAAAGCGGAGCTAACTGCCCTTCCCCAGTGTCCCTGCCATGCCCTTCTCTTTCCAGCACTTCCACATTATTATTATTTTGTGAGATGGAGTTTTGCTGTTGTTGCCCAGGCTGGAGTGCAATGGCATGATCTCAGCTCACTGCAACTTCTGCCTCCTGGGTTCAAGTGATTCTCCTGCCTCAGCCTCCCGAGTAGCTGGGATTACAGGCACGCACCACCATGCCTGGCTAATTTTGTATTTTTAGTAGACATGGGGTTTCTCCATGTTGGTCAGGCTGGTCTCGAACTCCCGACCTCAGGTGATCCACCTGCCTTGGCCTCCCAAAGTGCTGGGATTACAGGCGTGAGCCACCACTCCTGGCCACTTCCACGTTATTATTATTATTATTATTATTATTATATTATTTTAAGATGGAGTCTTCCTCTGTTGCCCAGGCTGGAGTAGAGTTGCTCCATCTCAGCTCACTGCAACCACCTCCTCCAGGGTTTAAGCGATTCTCCTGCCTCAGCCCTCAGAGTAGCTGGGGTTACAGGTCCCCACCACCGCACCCAGCTAATGTTTTTTTGTATTTTTAGTAGAGATGGGGTTTAACCATCTTGGCCATGGTTGGCCAGGCTGGTCTCGAACTCTTGACCTCAAGTGATCCTCCCGCCTCGGCCTCCCAAAGTGCTGGGATTACAGGCGTGAGCCACCGTGCCTGGTCCACTTCCACATTATATTGCTTATTTGCTTCTTGGTGTTTCCCATTAGACTCCTCCTGAATGGCTGTGTTTTATTCATCCCTCTGTCCCCATCACTGAGCACCTATGGCATGTCAGGCACCATTTGTGGACAGAATGGACAGAAGCATGATTTCAGTAGATATTGGCAATTAACACGTTTTTGTCTAGGCAGTTATTTTCCTTGTAAGAACCACTCTTTTCCCACTGTTCATGGCTCTGGAAAGGCTGATGGGGTTTGGGCCAATTCATGGTCTTCTGTTGATAGAGGGAGGGTCTCTTTGCCATTCCCATGACTGGTGCAAGGATATAGGTTTGGGCCTGTTGGCAACCATCTTTCCTACATATGGAATAAATCAATGTGAAAATAAGGCCACATCCCAAGGGAAGCGGCATTGAGAGGTGGAGCAAAGACTGTACCTTGTGAACATCTTTGTGCCCCTGGATCTGACCACATCTGAAGCCAGTCCTGCCTTTGGATATCCTGGTTTTTGCTTTGCGTTAGGATTCTGTCACTGACCCCTGCAAGTCTCCTGATTAATACAGAGTTGCTGCCTGGGGGCAGAAGCCAGCCTGTGTTCACATTCTCCATCTTCACTGCAGCATTCTACGTAATACATGTTTCCTAAACGTTCACGTGGTTGACTAACAGCCAGTGGGGCAGATTCCTTCTGGCCAAAGGCTCTAGCCTGAGAACAAAATCTATATGTATGTGGCCGAGATAAGACCATGATAAGGGATTGTTGAGGGAGTGGCCTGGGAATGGAAACAGCCTGAGCTGACTGAGAAGCGAAGATTTCCCAGCCACCTAGGAGCGGCCTGTTCCTGATCCGCAGTGTGGCCTCTCTAAGCCTCAATTTTCACGCTGTTTCACAGAGTGGCTGGGAAGTTCAAATAACAGCAATTAATTGGGTAGAGGGTTTTATGAATGCATGAGTGTAAGGACATCCCTTTTACTGCCCCTGGAATTGGGCTCAGTTCGGGGACAGGGATCATCTCTGGAAGAGCAGCTACTGGGTAGACGGTCCCTAAAAGGGTCTAGGCATTGCTGCTTCTGTCCTCTGTCCTGGAGCCTTCTAGGAGAGCAAGGCCCCAGGGCTTTATGCAGCTCTTGCAGTGGGAGGATGGGGTGGGTGGAGCTCCTTACTCTTCAACAGGTCAAGCTTCAGGCTGGGATCAGCCTTCAGCTCCCACTGAAGGCTGAGAATAAGAAAAGTTAGTCGCCAATCAGTAGACATCCTCTTGAGGCAGGCTGAGTGTTTACAACAGCAACCCTGCCCGATAGCAGTATCATCTCCACTTCACAGGGGAAGAAACCCAGGCTTCGGAGATTAGATAAGCAGCCCAGGTTTAGCTAGAAAGGAGAGTGGTTGGGATTGAAAGTGAAGGCTTTTTTGTTTTGTTTTGTTTTGCTTTTTTCTTTCTTTTTTAAAAAATCTAAAGACGATAACCCCCAAATTCCACTATTTTCCTTCAATAATAGCTTACCATTTAATACGCATTTGTTAAATGCTGGGCCCTTGCCAAGGACTTTACATATATCAGTTTTATTAGGCTTTCCAAATAATCCCATGCAGCAGTTATTTTTGTCCCTGTTTTACAAATGGGAAAGGTGAGGCTCAGGAAGGTAAGTCCAGGTGGAAATGCACTCAGTGGGCAAATGGCGGAGGTCCAGTCTGGTTGGTCTCAGAACTGGTCTTCTTTGGAATCTTGGAAACCGATTCCAGGGGCCTCTTTCAGGAACCCAGGGCTCTCCTCGCAGTCTCTTGCTGCCCAACGACTTCCCTAAATCCCTTTGCGGTGCCGTGCCCAACTCCAGGCAGATTTCATGGGAAATGCTGCCACCTTGTGGCCAGATGGCAAACCCAACATTTGCCGGGAGGAGGCGAGGGCTGGTGAGGGAGGGGCTCTGCAGAGCAGCTGGTGCGGCCTTGCTTTTGGAGGGCGGCGCGCAGCCACAGTGCCCATTGCGGTTGCTGGGGGACGGCGCCTTCCAGGTTGCCCAGCTGCCTCAGGGTGGAAGGCGGGGCTTGGGTGTGAGCGTGCTGAATCAGAACTTTCCTGGAAAGTCCCCATTTGTACTGATCAGAGGATCACTGAAGCAAGCAAGTAATCAGAATATCCCTTCTCCCTAAATGTTCCTCCCCAGTGTTTCACCTGGGTGGTCGTGGAGGAGGGAGAGGCGAAGGAGAAGAATGGTGCACGCCCCGGAGAGAGGATCCTTGGCCAGGATCCTGTTCTCGGTGTTCCACCCTGTATAGAACCTGTCCCCAACTCTGAGCAAGTTACAGAACCTCGTCTTCATTTCCCAAATCCGAGCCGGTTTGAGGAGCTCACCCTCTGTTCTGACCGCCGCAGCCTTCCTTCAAGCCCTCAGTCCAGACTGTTGCAGGCTCCCCCGGGCTCTGGGCCTGCTGCCACTCTTCTCTCTTTGCAAACCCGAAGATTCCCTAATCGTGTTTCTCCCTATATACAAGAGACACACTGAGGTTCCTCATGACCTGGCAGGAGAATACCCAGTTTCTTAGCCTGACTCTTATTCTTACCTCATTCCCTCCAACAAACCTCATCTCTGGCCTTGCCCTTCC